GCCAAATTGTCTGGTTCATATAATAATTGGTGATTGGAGTTACTTTAATTATGTTTTCAGGATTAATAGTAAAGTTGTTTTTGATTTGATTAATAATCAGACTCGTGTGAGGTGGATCCCTCCCAATCTTGGACATTTGAAGCTTAATGTGGATGGTTAGGTCCTCTCTCATCATAAAGCTGCAGGATATGGAGGCCTCATTAGGGATGATAAACGCAATCTTACTACTAATTTTCAAGACTGCACTAATCCTTGCTCTCCTTTAGTTACTAAATTTTGGGCTCTTTTTTGCCGGTATCAATTTGGTCATCTAATAGCAGATCCAATATATTTGGATTGAAGGGGATTCTAAGGAGGCTCTATTTCTAATCTTGAATATTCAATCTAGCTCTTATTCATGTGTTTTCGTACTAGATAATATTAGAAGGTTGTTAAAGAAAATTAAATTTGTTAGATTTAGTTACATATGTAGATAAGTCAATCGATGTGCTAATTGACTTTCTAAGCTTGGTGTTGATGGAAGCATTCCTCTTATTTGTTTTGATGATCTCCCCTCCTTTTTGTACCCCTTTCTTTGTTTAGATGCATGTGGTATTTGGTCATTTAGGTGTAAACATTAGTTTATGATATTTGGACTTTTAACCCTTCTTATTAAAAAAAAAAAAACATTATCTAAAGAATAATGTGTAAGTCTTGTCTTTAAGACTCTTTCATGTTAATTTTATCTAAAATTGTTACAAAGGATTTCAAGGTTGTCTTTTGTGATAAGGACAAGAATGATTCGGAAGAATGTTAGCAGTTGACGAAGAAGTTAAATAGGAAGCTAAAAAGGGTAATATGAAGTTATATGAAATGGAAGTTTTAACCAAAGCTCAAAGGATCATTATTGAGCTGCACAATGACAATGCAACGATGATGAGTTGTATTTATCTAACTAATGATTTAACAAGATTTAATTCATGATAGAAATTTTAATAATTTTTTAAAAATTTTAATTTTAAAATGTGTTGCTTTTATGAGAGTAAAAAATATAATCAAATTTAAAAAATAATTTTCATCAATTTAAAATTAAATAATAATAATAATAATAATATATTATTTAAATTATGTGTATAAAAATTTGTTAAAATTAAATATTTATAAGATTGTTATTAAATAGTTTTTATTTTTATAAATTTGAAAAGTATATATTATATTAATTTTTATATTTATAAATAAGGTATCAAATAATTTAAATTAATCTCAAATGTTGTATATATAATTTATATAATTAAAAATTTTGATGTAACAATTAATTTTAAGATTAAATAATTTAATAAAAAATTTATTGAATAGAGTATAACTTACACTAATAAAATTTAATTAATCTCCATACTACATATTTTCAAGATGGTATCCAAATTAGGCATGAATATTTTTTTATTATGATAAAATCTCACTTTATTTATGATGCTATGAGACAGACTGTGAATTTCTTATGTTAAAGAATTTATGATAAAAGAGGATACAAATTGACTTACCGATGATACTAGTAAGTTGTGCATGTGTCACTGTATAATGGGATGTTTGGGTTCTATCAAACAGTCTCTCTTTTACTCTTTCTACAACTTTTAGAATATTCATAAGAACTTATGAACCCAAGTACGTTAAAACAGTCAAAGTATCTATGTCAAACACGTATTTAGTACCAAAAACAACATGTTCAAATACATATCTCAAAAGTATCGATAATTTAATTTATTTTTAAAAATTAATTTCTAACTTGATATGACTTAGATACGACTAAAATACAATTTATAATCATTCGATACATTTTGTCGTGAAACAATAACAGCTTGAGTCAAATTATTATTGAAACAGAGTTTCAATCTTTTTTTCATTTTTCCTGTTTGCGAGTTAGAAACGTCCCAACCAAAACCTCACCCAAAATAAAAAAAATCAGGTAGGGCTTCTTCAAGTTAAGATTCTCTTGAGGAAATGAGATATATACATTGGGAGAAGAACTATTAAGGAAGCATTCAGAGAGGTTGTTTCCATGTGGCAAGCAAAGTACATAATCTACATGATGATAGTGTTGGATTTCTTGAATTAGCTAAATTATCTCTTGGTGAACCAGACTTAGAAGTTATGCTTTTTGTAGACGGTGGGATGGAGGAAGTGAGTATGACAATGTTAGAATTAAATAGTATAAAGGCAAGACTATCTTTTTGTGATGATTTTGTATTTTTTTTAAATAGAACTATTAATTCTTTTGTGAAACTTTAACTTCAACAAGGGATAAAAGTATGTAATTTTTTTATGTGTTCATAGTAAAAGAAATATTTTGACTTAGTTATTTAAATAAGGAAAAAATATGATCGCATATACTTTTTTTATAAAATATGATCACTGCAAATGTAACATATTAATATAAATTAATTATCAATATCTCTTTATAAATATTATATATATATATATATATATATATAAAGTATGTTATTTCTTTAAATTCATATTAACGTATTTAAATCGTATCATATCTTAAATTTTAAAATTTTTTCGTATCTTTATATTCGTACTATAGATCAGAACTGTTACAAATGTTAGTTCTCCAACCTCCATGTACAACCATTCCATGACTCCACCAACAGAGCTTAACATTGAGGGAAGCCTAGCCACCACTATAGTTTCTACTTCTTGATCAAATCATGGTAAATTCCAAACGTGGAACCCAACTATAGTGTTTATTGTACAATCAACAAACTAGCACCGGAACAATATGGAGATAGTTTACTTCATATAATTTGTTTAAACATTGTACTCAACATAATTTAGAGCTTTGTTATAAATATTGTTGGTTTTATGATAAAAAAAAAAGTAAAATAAAGTAAAGAAAAGAAAATGTGAATAAAATGAATAGAGAAAGAACTCAACTTTTATTCAATAGCAACAATGCATTTATAATAAGTCAAAGAAACCTAAACTAATTGCATAACTGAAAAGATTGGATAATAAACTAAATTATTCTTAAAATATTAAAACAACTTATTGACTCTGATACTAATATAATAAATTGAAATAACAAAAAACAACTGATAACATTTTCAAAAGCATATTGTTAACACTCCTCCTTGCTTTTTAAACTGCAAATTCTATTTAAATTTGCTAACAGAGAATGGATTTGTTGTCAATAAGAATTTTGTGTTCTCCTTCTGCTTCAAATTAGAATCAAATAGAATCTTCTTTTGCCATAGAAAAGAGAAGTAATTAAGTGAGTCACTTAGATCACGGTTAGAGAAATCAATCAACTTGAATTTTTCACTCCTCCTGAAGTTGATGCTTGAGTTACGGTGTCTTTGAAATATTTAACCACTCTCTTTGCAACTTTGAGATGTCTTTCATTTATATTATGAATGAAACTAGAAAACTTACTTTCAGCACTCAAGGTATTAGGATGAAATATTGTGGTATTTCCTTTGCATGAGAAAGTTGTTTGCTCCTCCTTTGATAGATTCAGAGTAAAAAAATTTTGTTTCATTTTTACTTTGAAAATATCTTTGACTAACTTCATCTTTAATCAAACAATGTTTATCTTCAAAAATAACTTTGAATCTCCCTTCAATTAGTTGATCAACACTTAACAAATTTTGGTCAATTTTAGGAACCTAAAGAACATCGTGAATTAACTTTGTGTCTGAATAGTTTGCTATTGCAATTGTTTCCTTTCCTTTGACTGGGATGAAATCACCATTACCTATTTTGACTTTAGTGATGTTAGTCAGCATCAAATCTCTAAAGAGTTTTTTGTTATTAGTCATGTGGTTAGTGCAACCACTATCAATTAGCCAACCTTCATTTGATTTAAAGTTGGAGAGGCAAGTAGCAACAAATAAATGATCTTTTTCCCCATTCGAAGCGATTTTAGTCTCTTCATCTTAGTGTTGGTTTTGATTTTTGCATATAACTTCTTCATGTCCCATTTGGTTGCATTTACCGCATTGTGCATTTAGCCTTCTCCAACATTTGAAAGGAGGATGATCATTTTTTTCATAATGATGACATGGAGGATAAGATTTCTTCTTGTTGTATCTTGCATTTTCATGATGCATGATATGTAAAGCTCCCTCAATAACATCTTCTTATCTAATTGTATGCCTTTACTCTTGTGCTTGTAAGGCATTTAAGAGTTCCACTTTTGGACAAGTATTTGGTATTCTCTAAGGTAGTGATCGTAGCCTCAAATCTTTCAGGCACTGTTACAAGAATTGTTTCAATAATTTTAGAATCGGGAAAATCAATACCTAGTAATCTTACATTGTTGGCTATGCCAAGCAGTCTGTCTGAGTATACTTTAATTGTCTTAGACTCTTTCATTCTTTAGAGTTCAAATTTTCTCATCAAATTCAACACTTGCATGCCTTGAATTCTTTCATTCCCGGCATATTCTTTCTTAAGATAATCTCAAATTGCTTTTACTGTTTTTAAAGTCATGATTCCAGTGAAGATAGTTGTTGAAACACCAGCACAAAGACATGCTTTTGCCTTTGCCTTTCGTGTTTTTCTCTCCTTGTAACTTCTTATTTGGATGCGGCAGCAGAAAAACTTCATAATCCTCTTCAACGGCTTCCCAAAGATCTAAAGCCTCTAGGTAAGTTTCCATTTTGATAACCTAAAGATCATAATTTTCTCCATAAAAAACAGGAGGAGCGACTTGTGAAAAATTTAATTCAACATCCACTTTCACAGTTCTGTAAGAAAATAGCTCTTGATATCACTTTGTTGATTTGATGATAAAAAAAGTAAAATAAAGTAAAGAAAAGAAAATGTGAATAGAATGAATAGAGAAAGAACTCAACTTTTATTCAATAGCAACAATACATTTATAATAAATCAAAAAAACCTAAACTAATTGCGTAACTAAAAAGATTTGATAATAAATTAAATTATTTCTAAAATATCGAAACGACTTATTGACTATGATACTTATATAATAAACTGAAATAAAAGAAAACAATTGATAGCAGTTTAAAAAACATATTATTAACAAATATCCTTACACAAAAAAAAGACAGAAAAGCACTTAACTTTTTCTGTTACCAACTATTTCAATTTCTTGTACACAAAAGCTTCTTATTTACCTTAATTTATCTTACAAAATAGAACTACAAACTTAATCAAACAGTAGGTAAAAAGCAAATAAAGCAACAAACGAAACATTCAAGCTTCGAAAGTGCCATTACACGCCTTTTGCACTTGGTATTATTTTCTATTGTTTCACACACATAGGATTAGAGAATTTATTGGGAGTCTCCGTACACTACAATAGGGCTTCTAACTTGAAAAGTGCCATCATCCCAAACCAAAGAAGCAGAGAGTATATCCACATTAATGCTCCCTTCAATTATGACAGAGAATGCTTTCTTCTGCCCAATTGATGTGAAGGACAAAACACTTGGTTTCACTTGGATATCTAACAAAGATGGAGATACCACTTTGGCTTGATAACTAGATGTTTCTGATCCCACATTTGTAACCGATCTATGGAAAACACGACTGAAAGATGAAACGTTTATATGAAGTGCAAATGATGGGAGATTGAGATCGTATACAGCTTCCTTTTTAGCATGTTTGCTACAAGTACTATGATCTTTTGTGAGAGTTCGGAGTTGTTTATCTGTTAAACCCTCTCCACACAAGAACTTGATATAATCTGCTTCGCTAATATCATACACTAAACCAGGATTTGCTGCCTTAACGGGATTCATTTGCCCCGCGCCATATGCCAATTCAAAATCAGGATTGAGAGAAGGACTCATTGGAGTAGCTGTTAATTGCAATGTAACAAAGAGATGGTTTTACTTTGGTGGCTAATTAGATAGAGATAACAAGAAAATGTGCTAAAAAGAAAAAAACTTGGTTAAATGTTAAGCAATGTTCTTAAAACATTACTAAAGATATTAGAAATAATTTTTTTTTAAAAAGTTTTTTTCTGTCTCATATTAAATGTATTTAATACTAATGTACACATTTAAAAAAAAATTAGTTTTACTGATTATTATAGTAAAATAAATTAATCCCACTAAAAGTGTTGAAATTGTTACAATATAAATCCTTAATCTAAATAAAGGCAAAACAGTTATTACCGGTGGTCATTAACGCAGACTTGATCATAGCAGGAGACCAATTGCGGTGAAATGATTTGACATATGCAGCTGCTCCAGATGCATGAGGGCAAGCCATAGAAGTGCCTGAGATTACATTGTATAGAACTCCTCTTTTGTCTCCTTTAAATTCTGAAAGTGGGTTGCGAGGAGAATATGCTGCTAGAATGTTAGATCCTGGGGCAGCCAGATCAGGCTACAATATCAAGCAATAAGAATTTGAGTGCATATGAAGATGACAAATTGATATGGATTATACTATACAAAAATTTGTTACCTTGAGAGTGTTTGGCGTAATTGGATTTGGACCTCTTGATGAGAACGCAGTTATGTAAGGGGCTACTGGATCATTGATTTCAGCACTCCTAAATATTGTGGCTGTTGAATTACTGCTAGGTTCAAGTCAATATGTTAACATTTTGAATAAATAGTTTGCTAACAAATAAATAGTCACTTTGGAATATATAGTTCTCAACCAAAAATATAAGCATTTCCAATATTAAAAGATTTGAATGTGAGAAAAATATTTTATAATTTTTGGACTGTGTTAACTAAATTGTCTCGAAATCTAATTTTTTATTGCCTTCCACTATAATATTTATAAAATTATTACTTCATATTGCTTTTAATTGTCGTTCCCTCTTATTCGAAACCAAATAAGGAACTTTCACTTTTAACAAATCAAATAAGGCGACTCTCTCTTTCCCTTTTATCTCTTTTTTCCCTTTTACTAAAATATCTTTTCACCTCATCCTTCCTTTCACCAAATTTCAAATTCAAAACAAGGATTTCACATAACAAGGGAAGGAAATAGAAAGGATGATAAAAATATCCCTTTGGATGTTATAAAAGAGAATTTTTTTTTTATAAGTTCCACCACACAAAAAAATTATTTTAGAGAAAAATAATAGTAAAAGAGGAAAAATAGATAGGGGCATAACGAGAGATGTTTTTTTTTTTAAAATTTCTTTTTAATTTTAAATTAATATAAAAATAAAAATATCAAAGGAAATACTAGAATAAAAACCTTATGAATTTTAATTTTTATAAATATTTTTAATGTAATTTAATTATTTTTAATTTTTTATTCATTGAAATAAGTGAAAGAAATATTTCCATTCAATTTCTTTTTTTATACCTCCTTGAAGCACTGTAGTAAGAAAAAACGCTATTAATATTCTTTTGACTAAGCCAAGACAGGGGAATAGCAAGTATAGGTGGGATATCTTTATTTCCAGTGCTTCCAACTAGCATCCCAGCTGCCCCAGATAAAAACCCTACGTCTTCAGCGTTTCGGAAGCCATCACATATAACGATCTTTCCCTTCACCGAACTTTTAACCACAGATTTATCGAAGCAAAACCTGTGCCCCAGTAAAATATTAAATTCAAATCCAATGTTTATAACCAAAAATTGATAAACAAGGAAAATTCCCGTTATGGAATAATTCATATTCTGATACCTGGAGATAGAACTATTATATCCAGCAGCAGTGTTGGGCACATCTCCAGCGTAAACCAATGGAAACATTTTGTTTTTGAGATCAAAAGTGTTAAATGAAACCCCCTGTGTTATAGGACACATTCATAAAAATTTATCTTTACAATTTATCTTTAAAATAAGGTGAATGAAACATCAAAGATACCTCAAAAACCATGCCGTTTCCCAACTGGACCTTGGTAAGGAACTTTCTACCAATAGTGCTAGCTGCCACTGAAAGCAACCAGGGTGAATAATTTGTCATAGAGCTAGCACTTGGACCGTCATTACCAGCAGCATGTGATGTTAATATGCCTCTTTTCATTGCATGGAAACTTCCTATATCAATAGGATGATCAAAATAACGATGGATTTCATTGGGTCCAGTTGAAATTGAAATAACATCTACTCCATCAGCAATTGCATCATCAAATGCTGCAAGGGTGTCAGCATTACCACAACCACTCTTCCAACATGTTTTGTAGATAGCGATGCGTGCTGATGGAACTCCTCCACGGGCTGTTCCTGCAGCAAAGCCAAATAGACTTGCGGAGTCAACCCAATTTCCAGCAGCTGTGGATGCAGTGTGTGACCCGTGCCCATCTGCATCTTTAGGAGATACGATGTCAGCTTTGTCATACTCATCAACATCCATGCTGAAGTATTTTGCTCCAATTATTTTGCTACACGGAAAGATAATAAATAAAGTGTCGGTTAGAAACAAAAAGGTCATTATTTGAAATTTAAAATACCGTAATATAGTTATATCCTGTCTTATAATTTTTTTAAAATTTTACGTTTTGGTGTTGGTACCCTATCAAAATTGTGGGTAGTGCCATGTATAAAAGGCTTTAATAAAGAATTCATTTTTTTAAGATGTAGAGATGTATTACTTGTTGCAGGTAAAGTTGTGGCATGATCCCTTCCACTTTTTGGGTGGAGGACCAAATCCTTGGTCACTGAAGCTCTTAGAGTCTGGCCAAACACCTGTGTCTATTACTCCAACAATTATGTCACTCTCCATACTTGATCTTTTGGCTTCCTTTGAAACGCCTATGAAATCCCACGATCTAGTCGTCCGGAGACGATTCTTCTTATTTTGGAAAACAGAGACAACCTTGTCCATTTCTATTGCAACACCAAAGTATAACAGAGTACTTTAATTCCATCATAATTGAATGTTTTAGTAACGGTGAGAATCACAGTACCTGCCATTCTTTCCGCCTCCGCTTCTGTTAACTTCACCACAAATCCATTGAAGCTCTTCTTATAGCTGTGAAGTATAGCTTCTGGCTTAAAGTCACTGTATACAAACACACATCTGGATAGTCAATTTTTCTTATGATTCTCTTCTTGGATAAGAAACAATGGATTATAATCCAAATTACATTACTTCTTAATATTTTACTGCCCAAATTCTCTTGCAGCGTTTTGTGAAATGCAGAGGATCCGTTTCCTTGAAAAAAGAAAAAATCTAGATATATTTCAAACTATTGCAGTTAATTAAGCTTTATACTACTGTTATTAATTTTGTTAAGTATTCCCAAAACTTGTCCCCTCAAAACTCAAGTTGCAAATCAAAATGCATTAATTGCTAAAGCTGGAAATAACTCAAACTTGACCTTATTAAAGAACGATATTATCATAATTCATAAACATGGATTAGACAATAGACACATAATGTTCAACCTGCCAAGGACCTTTTGAGCCATGGTCATATGAAGAGAAGGTAAGGATGCGGGGTCCATGCCTTCAGGATGATCACCCATGTACACAATGTATGTCTGTATTCAAAAATGATTAGATTAAATTGAGCAATGTTAAGCATCATTATCATCTTCATAACTACATACAATATAAGTATAGGTAGGAAGAAACTGGGCCATGAAGTTTATGCAAATATTTGTCTTTCCTAGGACACTCCGAATTAGCCAAAAACCTACGAAAAATGTAGTAAATTATAACGAGAGGATGTACCATGTGAGTATTTATATTTTACCTTCCGATCATTCTTGGAATATGTCTGATTAATTATCAGAATCCAAGAAAGTGTGGAAAGAAGGATTAGCCTAATAGAAAACATATTTTTGCAGCATAGATCAAATTGAGAAGCTGAAAAGCTCAAAGGAGGAGTTGATGTATGTATTGTTGCCCGTTCCACCAAAGAGTATTTATGATGGAAGAAAGGTAACTTTTTCACTGTGTGGCTTTCAAATTCGTTGTACAGATATTTTATTCTATAGTTAAAATGCAAACCAAGGACCGAAGGACGGATACACAGGGAATGAGATCTCCCAGTAATTTCTGCAGAGTGTGCTGTTCTAATTATTTCCTTTAAAATTTATTTAATTTAAGTTCAAAAATTAAACTTGTCATATACAAGAATAAATCAAAGGATTAGATTGATGCAATTATCCTTTGATTATAAACAATAGAAATCCGAATGTATATACTATTTCAATCATGCAATATGCGTCCCCATCACACCACTATGAGTATCAGCCAATACATATTTATTTTTATCATATAATTCATAAATATTATTTCATCCATTTTAAATTTTTTGTTGTTATATATAATGATATGATTAAAAAAAAAACTTGCTATATGATTTTAAAATCAAATTACAGTTAAATTTCATTAAATTGTTCTATATTAAAATATATTTAAAAAGTAATTTGTATTTACTTTTCCAAACAATCGATAAAATAAAACAAAACTCAAATTGTATTTGAAGAATCAGATGATCAAGTATTTTTTTCCCCAAACCCACATTAATTGAGGACTAAATTATCGAAATAAATTGCGCGAATTAATTATTAAAATAAACTGATGTGAAATTGAATACTTTTGTATTAAATAAATTCTGCTAATAAAAAAAGTGATATGTTAAAATTTTTAAATTTACAAATTGTAAACTTATAGGTGTAGAAAGTTTACCTAAGAAAAACTATGCTCTTCTGTAAATTGAATCAACAAGTATAGGTAAGGTCACGCTTTAGCTAATCTCTCTCTCCAGTTACGAGTATGTATTAACAAATAGTATTCATACAAAATTATATATTTTTAAGAATTTACGCTACTCTATATATAGTACCGGATTTATTATTTGATCGGAATTATACCTATGTTATTACAGAAAAAATATTATTTATTAATAAATAATAACTACCGGAAATTAAATTTATATTTGATAACTTTTTATAAATTAATGTATTAATTAATCGTAACACGTTTCTTTAATGTTTATAATTTATTAAGAATCATCTCATAAATAAAATCAAAAGAATATTCTGACTCATTAATACTAATGATTGTACAAATTTTATTTTATTTGTCATTGATTGTACCATGTTTGAACAGGCCTCTTTATTGGTTGGAACCTTGCTTGAATGTGCTGTTCCGTTAATCTTGCATCATATGTCCATATGTTAAAGGGATGAGCACTCTCTTTTTTTCTAAAAGTTTTACTTATAAAAACAGAAGGTGCAAATAAAGAAATAATTTTATATTTTTATATATTTTTTATGATTTTTTTTATTTTCATTTGTTGATATTGTTATTACTTTTATTTATTTAACATAAAAAAATAAATTGTGAAATAATTCTTTTTTAAAGGAAGAAATAAATTATTGTGGCCCAATTCATCACTCACTGGACCATCGAGTGAAGAAGAAATTAACTATTGTGGCTCAATTATTTGTGTTATAGATATTACATAAATAGTATTTCACCCCTTTTTAATTATTGTGCATTTGTAGCTGTCGTCACTCCAATGGAAAGGCTTATGTCATATATTTTCATGATTTGACGTCACAAACGAAGCATTATATTTTAGAGGAATTTTATACAACGGGACAAATTACATCATATTTTATTAAGTATAAACATGTTTTTATATTAAATTGACATTTTAAAATTATATAATTACATAAAAAATTTATATATATATATATATATATATGTGAATTAATAGATATTTATATTATTTAAAATAATATATGATATTATATGTTTTAGGAACTTCAATTTTTTTCCTTACGATTGCATTAAGAAAGGGATTCTATTCTTTTGCTGTGAGTTTTTAAATAATTCTATAGTGTATAGAACGATTGGTGGTACAAGAATCGCTTTAAGAAAAAAAATATTTGATTATTTAAGAAAATTTTAAGAGATAAATTAATAAGTGTGTCTTTTATTTTTTATTTAATTACATAAATTTTATTTTCTTTAACATTATTAGTTGTAATTTCTAAATTAAATTCATGTTTTCTACGTATTTCTGATCTCATATTAAACTTTTGATAATTTAATAATTTAGAATATATACATATAATTTACTAATTAAAATTGATATTTTATAAATAATTTTTAAAAAAAATTTAATTTAATATTATAACTACAAATAGTATACATCAAAATATTTAAAAATTACTAACAAATATTAGTACGACAAATAACTCGATATCGCTTAAGTAAAGTTTTGGATTCAAGTCTTTGTGTATGTAAAAAATCTCTCGTGATAAATTCACTCACCACATCCAAATGTACGATCCAGATTAAATCTGGATTCAATCAGATGAGAAACCAAAAAAAATATTTAAAAATTTAATAAAATTAAATAAAAACTTTAATTTTTAAAATGTAAAATAGAATTAATATAAATAAATAAGATGTAAAACCGTTAATTTTAATTTTAAAATATATAAAATAAAAAATGATTCTATTAATATTTTACTTTCTAAACAAGTACTTTTATTTATAATATTGGATTGAAAGTTCAATGTGTTTAGGCCATACTTGTCTTTGAACTTTTGATTCCTTTTCCGAAAAATATGAAAAGTGAAATCTAAAAATTTTAAAAAATAAAGTAGGAACGAGTGATGCTATATTGTAATTTGTAACTTAAATGTTTTAATCCTAAATTTTAAAAAAATTATCTTGTGCTTTTATTTTAAGTTGCTGTGTTTTTGTTTATTATAAAAAAAGGCACCTTATAGGATTGTGTCAAAGAGAAGGTTATTTGTTTATTTGTATATTATTATTAATTAAAAAAGAATATTTAATATAATTGATTTGACTTTGTTAAGGTTTTTAAAAAGTTGTTGATACTTCTCTATTCAACATTCATGTATCATAGCGATATTTTAAAAAGAAGTGAATGGACGAAAGCAAATTACTTAAATCAGATGGGAAACAAAAAAAATATTTAAAAATTTAATAAAATTAAATACAAACTTTAATTTCTAAAATATAAAACAGAATTAATATAAATAAATAAGAAGTAAGAGTGTTAATTTTAATTTTAAAATATATATAGTAAAAAAATGATTCTATTAATATTTCACTTTATAAACAAGTACTTTTATTTATAATATTGGATTGAAAGTTCAGTGTGTTTAGGCCATACTAGTCTTTGAACTTTTGATTCCTTTCCCGAAAAATATGAAAAGTGAAATCTAAAAATTTTAAAAAATAAAGGAACGAGCTTGTAATTTGTAACTTAAATGTTTTAATCATAAATTTTAAAAAAATTATCTTGTGCTTTTATTTTAAGTTGCTATGTTTTTGTTTATTATACAAAAATGACATCTTATAGGTAGGGGTGTCCATCCAATAGGGTAAACTAACGAACCTGATAATTCAAACTTATCCAAATTAGAAAATAATCCAAACCAATATTTAACGAGTCTAATCCGATCTAAATCAATCAAATCCAACGTGATTTGATTCGGATAATATAACACCTTAAATTTAATTTTATTAAATATCAAATTTAAGAAAATTGGAGAAAATAATTTCTTTTAAAATAATTTTTCCCATACATGGTTCATTAAAATATTTCAAATAAGGATGGTTACAACTTGCATCAAATCGTTGCTACAGGACTTAATGAGTACATCAAAATTTTCAAAATAAATTCCCAAGTCCTATAGCAGTTTCATCCATACTTCATTGAGTTTGGTACTGATCATCTTGGTCACCTGAAAAATAAATGTAAGGATGAGTACTCTACACTACCCAACACATACACAATTAACATAGAGTCTCACTTCACACATACTTCATATTATTCATAATACATTTTACACAAGTGTAATTTCAAACAACAAAGTTCAGCAATTCATTTTGATTCACGATCAATGCACTCACGGCACCAAAACATTTTTCACACGTGCATTCACCGCACACAGTCACGCTCAATGTAGCACTGTGATCACAGATTCACACCATGGATAGTCGTTGGTTACTCCCGCCTCACGAATACCACGTGGGCAGTCACGAGTCGCTCAACAAACCTGGTCAGACACTACTAGAAAATCTACAAATATAGACAGATTTACAAACGGATTTTTTTATTATTACAGATGAATTTTAGCATTACAGATGAATTTATAGACGGTTACAGTCCGTTTGTAATATGCGCGTCAGTAAATAATTACAGACGGATTTAAAAATCTGTCTGTAATTTATAGATAGAAAATTCGTCTGTAAATCCGTCAGTAATTCATTTATGAAATTTTTTTAAAATTGTTTCATTTTTTTTTATAAACATAATTATTCCTCCCTGTTCCTAATTATCACAATTTATAAACATAATAAAAACTACAAAATTATATATTTAAATCAGAAATTATTTATAAAATGTAAAATTAAAATGTCATTACAAATGAAGAAGTAAACATCTAAAAAAATAATATCAAAAATAAAATAATATTATATATCACTAATAATCAGTGTGATCATTTTCTGAAAAAATACCGTCATTAGTAGAGGAGGAGTCAGAGGAGGAATGACGCATGGAGCTGAAGATTTGTGGTGTTGGAGCTAGTGGAGGAAGAGGAAGAGGTGTAGAAGTACTTGCTTTCATGACCTCAAAGTATGCATGCATCTGCTGCATCTGCATATGCTGCTGTTGCATATGTTACTGCACCTTCCTTTGCATCTTCGATGTCACCTTCTTCTCTATCTTCTTTTCCATTTTCTTCGCCCACCTATGCCCTGTGTAGAAGGAGGTTGTGTGGCATCTGTAGTCAGCAGTGAAGGAAGAGGAGCAACATATCCAGGATTAGGCACAATGATAAATTGCTCTTGTCCCTTATCCTGCGGGTTTGCATAGTAGCTGGTGTGGAGATGGAAGTGGGAGCAGTTGCTGAAGGAGTGTTGTCACGATTAGAACGCTGAGCA